CTACTACTACTACTGCTGCTGCTGTGTTCGATGGTTATTGCTGTTTCAATATTTTTTGTGATTGACTTCTTCTTGTTGCCATCATCATTGGCATCATACGACGCAGCTACTGTTCTGCTCCAGGTGCACATTTTGCTTTCAAGACCATGGATAGTCTTGTTATTGGAATGATGACCAGTACTGCTGTCATGGTTACTGCTATTGCTACGATTATTCATGTTATTTTTGCCGTTATGCTCATTTTCACTGGTATTCTCACGGCGAAAATTGAATATTGGCCTCGTGCTGTGCATCTGCGTAATGGTGATATACGTGGTGGAACTCTTCCTTTGGCTTGACATCTTTCGCAAGGCTGCACACATCATGCAGACATCATGCACTGGCTCCGACAGGGATCCTTTGACCCTGGCCAGGATGTCGACAGGTACCGCTTCCGTTGAGCCGGATGTTTTAACAAGAGGAAGCTGTTTGTTGCAACATCATTCATCTGCCTCGACGAGCCAAGCAGAGGCAAGGATCCGTCTGTGCTTCGCACAGGACATTGCAGCAAAGGCAATCGGTCGTGGCGCTCGACGCACTCCATGTAGCAGCATCGCCATCCAGGTTGATGGGCAGTTCCGATGTTGCGGCTCCGTGGAGCACTTGAAGTCCGGGTACGCATCAGCTCCGAGGTGAGCGTCAAGTTAAGTTCTGTTCCGCACGAGGCGCCGACGCACTGAGCCGCCAAGCTTCTTCCAGCTATGACGTCACCCAATCACCGGCCATGGAGATACTGAGGAGGTCGCGGCCGAAGCCGTGGCAGACGCTGCACAAGATTGTCGAGCTGCGACTTTACAAGCCTGCGCACAGCACACTGTGAAGCACGTAAGCTCTGAACCCGAAGTTCCAAACCTGAAACAGGTCTGAGCCTCCTAGAGCATACAAGACAAAGACGCAAGCGTCGGAAGCTTCGCCACTGAAGGCAGCGCAGCAGCTGGGTCAGCGAGGTGCCCTCTTTTGTGGAGGATCCAGCTCGCTCGACTGCGGGTAAATGTAGCACGCCTCAAGGGCTTAGGGGTGTAGTGCTCAAACCCTAAACTTCCCTAAACCATA